CAGAACCGACCTATTTGTTATATAGATTGTTGGACCGTGATTTGCTTGTCACATATTCCGGACTCGACAGCTTGTGAATTGTATAGTAATAACGCTCGATCGTCGAAGGCATCGATCCCAGCACGATCTATGATGTTACGGACACATATCAGACATTAGCTTACGAAGTAAGTCGTCACGTGTGAGTATGAAGTTCGGTTCCACCGTAAACATAGATTCAGCAAGTTTCAATTTGCGCAGAATTTCAGTCCGGAAACTTTCCATATTGCCATGTACGTACTTGAGTCGAAAATTTACGCGCGTGAACAGCTGTAAACTGTTTTCACATGCAGATGCGGTGCGATAAAATGCATTGTGCAAACTACACAGCCATCACTGTTGTTCGCTACTAATCAGTTCACATAAACATTTCTTAAGTGGTCTGTAGAACGTCAACTACAAGGGACCACAAAAAATACATAACACCGCACAAAAGACAATACCGCGGTAAGAATACCCCCGTTTTTGAAATTTCCTATCTCCATTGATGTACTGTTTCCCACTTAAGTGAGCTAAATCTGGGGTCAAATCACATCCTTCACAGTTTGGTGTTCTCATCGTTCACCTTGCCTATGGAAGTTGAAAACATGAGAAACTCCAACTACACGCAGTATAAGTGATAAAGTGAAGATGTAATCTAGATTGTTGCTTTCATGCATGTAGNGGGGGGGGGGGGAGCGGTTTTATGCCGCGCACCTATTTAGACAATTGTACAAAGCGGCTGATAAGTAGCCAACCTACAACCCCCCCCCTTACGAACGTCTCGGTCCCAACTCACTTGACCATCAAAACTTTCAAGCGAACGTCATTATCTAGTCGTATGCTTGCGCATAACGGAAACCATCTGTTTATCACGTTTTAAAAATAAATCGCTAGCTGTTCCGTTGTTACAGTTGCGAATATTAAACTTGGAGACCGTGAAACACGAACTTTGTAGGCTATTCCCGGGTCCGACCACGCATTAGTTTTCGCTAAGGTATCCACGTGCTTCGATGATCATTTTAAACTCACAATACAGCGACGGTTTGACTGCAATAAGCATACCTAATCGTCTTTCAAAAACCACTAACCACCTGAAAACATCAGTCAGCACTGTTTTCTTAGCGAGGCTCCTATGCATTCTGTTGATTTGCTGAGTTGTGTCGTAAAACCCTTGATTTCTGCTGAGTGTCTGTGCCTGTTAGACGTACGTCGATCTATCCCGCC